AGGCCAGGAGCCCCTAGTAGCGTCCTTGTTCCTAGTAGTAAGGCCAGGAGACCCTAGTAGCGTCCTTGCTCCTAGTAGCGATGCCCTTTGCTCCTAGTAGCGTCCTCTACCCCCCACCCCATATCGCCCCGCAAAGGAGAAGAATGTAGGGTGTGTATACGTCCCTGGGCACAACCCATCCCGAGCTACGGTGTGGGTGGGTCCATTGTTCTTCTCCAGACCAGCCATGGGACTGGAAGAGGTACTTCGCTGAGGGTCATCAATGGTGTTGTTGAGTCACTCTTGCTGACTCTGATGGATGGTCTGGGTCTGGGGTTATCCAGCGTGGATGTCCAAGGGCTGGGGGTCACCTAGTCTCGAGGCCGGAGGAAAGTCCCAGCCCAAAGAGGCTGGCGTTGGCAAACACGGGTGCGGGACCTGCGAAGTACCAGGAAGGTCCACTGAACAAAGTTATTTCACTGTCACTCTGGTAAAGCAACTGACAGACCACCCCTAGGAATATCATTCACGGCAGTTTCAACACTATTGTCTGGAAAGGTCCGCCGTTGTTTATTTGGTACTGGTAGTTCCACTAGTTCCAGCTAGTTGGCAGACTCTGCCATAGGTTTGATTGGCCCATGGCTTGCGGTACAGGATTTGTGAGGTGTCTCATGGCCCTGGTGATCATCTTGCAGACATGTCCAATACGTCCCGGGGTCATGGTGGAAGCGGCACCTTTGGTGCCTGTTGAACAAAAAAGGATGAAGAAGAGATGTGGAATCTGAAGGAACCAATGGAAGCCAGGCGTTTTAGCGCCCCCTCCGTGTGCATTCAGAACCCGAGTCAAATTGGAGGGCCGTTGCCAGTCCGTTGATATTCAACCATGGTGGGTGAACAAAATGTAGCGACTGCTCCCTTTTTTGCCAAGCGGTTTAAGGAAAACACACAGCTCTGGGTCACACAGGTTGTCATCCATAGCCCTTCACAGGCCTCAAAGCTGGTGACAGACCAGAGTTGGGGTATTTGCGACCGGTCTCGTTATTGGTGCTGGTACATCGGAGCACATCGTTGCTCTTCCTGTGTCAGGCTGAGTCCAAAGATGAAAAGACAAAGAGTGCTGATACGTTCTTCGGCACAAACTGTGTTGGGCCGGCTCATTCGACTCACAATACGAGAAATCTTCACTTACCAGGACCTTCAAAGTGACCTTTTTGAGATCCCAGAATGAGGTCACAGAGGTTACTTAGAGACTCCAAAGAGGTCACTTTGAAGGTCCTGGTACATAACCCATACAAGTGGATGGACATGTAGGCACAACCAACAACTCCTTTTCTTCGGGTTTGGCCATCCTCCCTGATTCAGCCTTCACTCTATTTTTGCCAGTTCCAAGATCTGAAAAGATCCTTCTAGAGAACTCCGACATTCTTTTTCACATGAATGTGGGGGGCCAAAACCGATAAGAACCGGTCGACCTTGGAAGGTTGACCCCGAAAGACCCACCGCCAGATGTGACTTCATCCCCGTCTCTGACCCGATTGAGCTTTCGTTCTTGTTGGGGAAACACTCAGGAAACCCCACCTGGTGAGATATAGTGGGACCAAGACGGGAGTATTTTTGGGTGTGGGCCAGAACCTCACCAGTTGTTTTCTTTATGATTTCTTCCCCAGTGAGAATTTTGCCAGTTCAATCCTTTTGTTGTACCAGGTCATAGACCAAGGTGCGGTAAGGTGGCAGAGAGGATTTGACTGTGTCCACAGGTGCAGTATCCCACAAACCACGGAAGGTTGACATCCCTTCTAGAGATTCTAGAGGAATTTTTCATGTTCAGGGGGTTTTGACCCGAAACCATATTAGGGAAGATCCTGTAGATTGGCAAAGAAAGAAGAATCCACCTCAGTGCAATCAATCACAGATACATTGGAAAAGAAAACTATGACCTGTGGCGTTTCAGTATCCTAAAAAATTCACGGATAATTAGTGAGTTCTCCTGTGGGTACCCGTACGTTTTGGTTTCCCTCACAATATGTTCAATGAGGTTCAATTGGTTCAGCCTGTTTTAAATAGGACACTTGAGTGTCCCAGTGTTGGCACCAACTGTCAACTTCTTGTCCGATCCCAAAAGGAAACAACCGTGAAGCCAATGTGTGGGAACTTGGTCATGAGTCATTTGCCACACATTGGCTTCGCAACTTCTTTTTGTGAAGCCAATGTGTGGGCGGGCCGCCACGGAGGAGGCGGAAGGACAAGAAGAAGACAGACGGAATGCCCATCGCATACTTATTTTCTTTCAATGTCAGTCTCAAAAAGCACGAGACATTCAACCATATAATCCAAAACCTCAAAAGTTACTCCCGCCGCCCAGAGGTTCCAAAGGTGAAACTATTTTTCCAGGGTAGGGGTGCCATTCTTCTGTATTCTTCCCCAAGACGTTAGGGATGAAATACCACCTCCAATCATCTCCTGTTGGAAGAATGGTACCCGTCTGAGTCTTAAACATTGGAAACATCTCAAAATATCTCAGAAGCATCTTAAACATTGGAAACTCCTGTTGGACCCTCCAAGCATCTCCACTCCGACGAGGCACGTTTCGAAGGCCAAGACAAGCAAGTCTTCGTCCACGCGGGCGGCGGCGCTGCCGCCTGGTTGGATCAAGGCGCGGGTGGTTTTGTTGTAAGTTGGATTCGGTGGAGGTAGGAACACATTCTGTTTATTGGTCGACGACTATAGAGGTTGTTTGCAGGAGGTTGGAGGCGTTATGAAAAACTGATATGGTGTTTTCCTCTCCAACTCCCAGGATGAGTTGTTCTTTCCGGCTGTTTGGCTCAGTTCGTTCGTTCACTCATTTGGGTGGATCAGAGAGGTTGCTCAATGCCTGTTGGTTTGGACCCAGCTGAATCCAACACCTCTAAATGGAAAGGGTTTGGTTCGGGTCCTGGACCCCCTGCGTTTCGGTGTCGGGTTTGGACGACATGACCGATATCTTTGCTGCTAGACCGATTGCTCCGAAATGACCGATTGCAGGACTACACATTTACATTGTTTAGATGTTTAGAGATGGTGGAAATGGAAAGACAGGAACCAGTTGAAGTGTGTATCTTCACTCTGTGGGTTCATGGACTTGCAGGGTGACTGGGCAAGTTGTGAACAAGTCAAGTCTCACTAAATACGTGCGAAACCCCAGGCAGTCATTGACAGCTCCTATAAGCTTAGGTAGTTCTACCAATCCACTGCCAGCTCTCTATGTGTTTTTTTGTTTCTCTCTCTCTCTCTCACTACTTCGTGGAAAAATGCTCGTACACAGCACTTACTTACGCAAAAAAGTAAGACCTCCCCCGCCACCTGCCACCGCTGGAGCTCTCGTAGGTGGCTTCCAAGTCGCATCCCGGAGCTTTCTACTATGCTCACCCAGCCACGAAGCGTACGCAAGCTCATCCGCCCGCTGCGATGTGACTCGGTGGGTTGACAACGGAGGTGGGTTTAGGCGGTTTAAGGTTCTTGGGTACAGAGGAATTGGCTTAGCAGAACAGAAGAGGAGCAGTTTCTATATGGTCAAGTGATGTCAAGTGTGTGTGTGTGTGTGTTTTTGGTTTTTGAAGGTACCCCGTCCTTTCGGCTGGAAAGCTACTGGGCTTGCTAAAGGACTTAATCTAGCAAGGGGGCATTGAATCTATCAAAAACCCTGTCATCCCATAGTTCTTTTTCAAGTTTGTTACATCGAACATGCAGTGTCCTTTAATGGTCGAACAAGAAACCATGCACCTTTTACATAGGACCTTACACACCAACATAGTATAGAACCTGTTCATCGTTTCGATTCAACTTGCTGCTGGAGTCGATCATCTACCAGAGTTCGATAGACCATCCCAAGCAGCAAGGTCCGACAGGCGTTTGTTCGCGCCAAAGTCCAGCGAACTAGTGCACCAGAGTCACTCAGAATGAAGGGTTTCCCACCATGGACACCTTCGCAAAGAAAGCCCTCCGAGCCCAGCACCGAGGTACACGGGGCTTCCCGAGCCCAGCGAGCTGACCACGTTGCTGGGCACGCCACTGCCAGGTGCTCAGGTGAAGAAGGCTGCGGAGGAGGCCAAGGAGGCGAAGGCCGACGGCGGAGTCGCACGGGTCGAAGGGATTGGATCTCAGGGACCGGGCCGAACAGAAAAAGCGGAAGGGACCGGGGTGACGAATGTTGGGTACCATGGAAAAGCCTTTCGAATCGTTGCGGTTTCGTTTTTTTTGGTTTGCGGTTGATATGAGGAGCATTTTCATCTCACCTTGCCCTTCCTGTGGCCATTGACAACTTCCAGAGTAGGTGGTGGGGAGGCGGAGTCTGAGGAGAGCCCTGACGGCAGTCTCAGTTTCAGTCTAGTCTACTGGATTCAGATAGCTAGCGGATTGGGAGTTGTTTGCAACATCAACTGGGGGAGTTGGGGTCGAAGAGGCCAATAAACGGAGTTCCCTGTTCGAACTCCTCCGATCGATACCGCTCTCCCATCATCTCTCTTCTCGGTGAGTGTCTTCTCGTCCCACCGAGGAGGCCAAGGCACGCGAGGAAGCGCTGAAAGCGCAGAAGGCCAAGGAAGAGATGTTGAAGCGTCAAAAGGAACGCCAGCAGAAGCTGCAGCAAGCAGAGGCGCCGGTGAGCCTGCGGCTTGCCTGTGAGTTGAAGCATGTTGAATCTGATGGATTGATTTCCGATGATTTCAGAGTCAAAACCAAGAACTTCACAGCACCCCACCATAATTAAATGTCCATGGGATTGCTATGGATGGTGCAACTTGATGTTTCGTCGCCGTGGTCCATTCTGTTGATGAAGGGTTGGCTTGGACTCCAACAGCCACTAGAATCTGTACTTTCAGAAGAGACTGGGTCCTCATTTGTACCATTTACATCCATTTACATAGTTGATAAAAGTTGTATGCATTTCGGGCATGAAGCGATCTGAAGCAATTCTTCGAGTGTTCTTGCCTGGGACAATCCACAGACCATTCGCCCATGGTCGTTGTTTCACCTCTAGAAAGGATTGTCAGCTTCCAAAACCAGTTGGCATTCCGAAATGAGGACCTGCCTCTACCTACTACACCTGATCCTGTCATCCCTCATCAAACGAAAAGAAGACCCCGGCTGAACTATGTTCCCAAGCAATCGCCGAAACCCGAGGGAGGTTCTGTGGACACCGAAGCCTCCCACCCCGGGCATCGCCGGTGCGGCTCCCGGCGCCGGGACCGCAGGAAGAGGCCAAGAAGGAGAGCGCGCAGGCCGAGGAGGTGATCCGAAAGGCACGCGAGCGGCGTGCCACGCTGGCAGAGAATCAAAGCAGTGGCTTAGGCGGCAGAACAAGAGGGGCCAGCATGGACTTTGGGGTGCTGTGGGTGTATGCCGGTGTACGAATCGTTGTATGGGTGTATGTTGGTGTTATTCCGAAGTTGTTGTAATTGAACTGTTTCCCGGTCGTTCCCTTTTGCTTGACAAGGAGTTTTCGATCTGGGCCAGTGGAGGTCAGAGCTGCTGAGGCTTCGAAGAGGTTCCGGCCGTGCCCCGCGCTCCCAAGCCGCGGGGCAAGACTGGAATTCACTTCGATCGGAGCAAGCCCGAGGAGATGGCGAGCCTTGCCAGTGAAAGATACTGCAGACTGTATAGGCGAATTGCCTTGAAATCCGAAAGGGACCCCTAACTCCCACAAGCTTAGCTGCTCTGCAACTCACGTTGCGCAAGTGGCATCTTACGTTGCGCAACTCCATTGCGGCAACTTATATATACCAACGCATTTTGCATGAAATAACAGGAATGGCTCGGAATGGCTTTGCTTGTGGACCCAGTTGCCTGTAGATGCTATTATTTCTTCTGTCTAAGTGCATTGGATAGTTGGCATTCAGGGTTTCAAGGGTTCGTCTCCGATCCTTCCAGTTTGCAGACGCCTTCATTTGGGTGGGAGAACGTCTTAGTCCACAGGCAAGTGCCTTGGAAGAAGCAGGCCATGCGGTAACTCCGGCTTGGCTCGTGAAGACTTCAACCCGTGGTGTGCAAGCTAGTGCTAAGATCTTGCAGGAACATGTTCGAAAATGTTCGGCCCGAAGACGGTGGGTAGGGTATGTGGGCATGTCTTCGCTGTGGCTGGACAAGGACAATGGGAGGATGTTTGGCCCATGGAGCATTCTTGTGCTTTGCAGAACAGCTCAAAGCCAAGAACTACATTTGGATCCATCGGTTGCAAGGCCCGGAACAGATTGCACCTCCATGCGCAATTTCTCCAAAAGTGTGCCAAAACAGGGCACCTTACAAGCACTTATATACGTGCATCAGCCGTCCAAGCAGCAGTTGCTGGAGAGCAGCTGCCGGTGAGTGGCTGCCCTGCAATGGTGTCAATTCATGCACTGGCTTGCCTGAAGACAATGGGTGGACACCTTACAGGCTCACCTTACAGGCTACCAAATTGACTTGGGCAAGACTCAGTCTGCAGACAACAGCGATCCGGCTGCTGTACTGTGGCTGCTGTCAGACAATTTCAATGAGACCGCGAAAGACTCGCAATTTTGAGTAGGTGGTGCCAGAAGTTGTTGGCCGTCAGGGCCCAGCTCCTTTGCCAGAGCAAAAGCAAGCGCTGGGTCCTGATGAATGTCCTTTCTCCAGCAGTAGCCCGTCAAGCAAACTGCACTGAAGCACCCAAGGTCGAAGATTTGTGAGGTGAAAAGGATTCGTGTCTCAAGCTGTCATGTTTCAACATGGCCTAAGAAAAATGCATCTGGCAACATCTTCCTGTTTAAACAGAAACATCTTAAACGGCTGGCACCTTGCTGGTTTTGTTGCCAGAGGAGTAAACGCACCGATATATGCTGTATAGGATGATAAAACCATATATAACCGACTGCGTTGCGAACATGCATTCTGCAACTCACCGTTGCGCGTTGCGCGTCGCAGGGCGCCTAAGCCCACAAGAGTTGGCAGTTGGCATTTGTTCATGATTTTGATGGTTTATGTTTTGATGGGTTTTTGCATGTTTTTGTGGATAGTTTTTAGATGTTCTTAGTCCTACGATGCGAACACATATTCTTGTCGAATGTGCTCTACAGACACGAGCAATCTGTGCAACGAACAGAGTTCAAAGAAGTAAAGCCTAGGAACTAGAGTTAGGCACCTCTTTCAGTGTTCCTTTCGTAGGTCTCCATTAGCTGTGGCGTTGGGCTGAACATGCTAAACCTTCTGGGTGCTTGCCCCAAAGTGCATATGCCCACGAACTATGCCCGACTTTGATCACAGATTCAGATGTCGTGATGTTCTGTGAACCCTAAAACGTCCGATCATTGACAATTGGATCTTCCCCACTGCTTCCATCTCAATCGATCCAATGAGACCCCCATGGGCTCCACGGCCAGAGGAACGACGAAGACGAGGAATCGGAGGAGCTGGACTTGGATCGCCTCAAAGTGAAGTTCCGCAAGCAGGTGCGCGGGGCCAACACGCAGGGCGAACTTGTTCCGTTCAGAAGAGGGTGATGGTTTGAGGGTGGGCATTCGGTTTGGGGGTAGCTGGAGGAGTGATGGTTTGGTCTCGCCCAGCGGTTGGAGAGGCTTCATTGGATTAGAGTATTAGAGGGGAAAGTTGGAGGAACTAATCATGTGTTGAGATTTAATTAACTACATCGATCAACTACATGTTGTTTAAGTTTAAATGTTATCCAGAGCCACAAGTAGAGAACTCCAGACATATATGTGGAATATTGTGGAATCATGCAGTCAGTATTATTTTGTATATTATACACATTTTTGTTCATTTTTAAAGATAATATAAACATATACAGTTTCCATCAATTTCTTTCAATGTCATGTATTTTTGTTGATGGACCCACTAATTATATATAGTGTCTATATTCTTTGTTGCTCGCTCAGGTTGAGGCGCGGGACATGGCCATGATCCCCGATTTGGTCTTCGATGATGAGCCGCCGCCTCCGCCCCCGCCGCCATTGGCACCCTTACCGCCGCCGCCCATGCCGCTGCCAGAAGGGAATCCTGTGAAGGATAAGGAGGCGAAGGTCGCGTGTGGGTCAAGAGGATTTGTAGGCTGGTGCGACTCGCAGGGAATGAGATATCGTGACATCCCCATTGTGATTTTCCCTAGGATCCATTCCCTCGTTCCTTACCAGTCGCACCAATCGCGGTTTTTGCTTTCAAGGCCTTTGCCTGGGACACTCTAAAAGAAGGCTTCTGGGGCGAAACCTCCGTGGATTGGAAGTCACGGACTTTCGGGATCATCCGAAGTCCCAATGTCGAAAGCTTTTCAAAGTACGTACTGTCTTGGCCTCGGGGCCCCCAGTGAGACCCAGATGCTTCGCCCCAAAACCTTCGACCGAGACGACACGGCAGCCTCTCGCAGAGTCGTCTGAGTCCTGAAGTCCAAGCCGCCTCGCATTGAGGGACTTTGGGCGTGCGATTTCAGTGTATCAGTACACCTACTGTAGGATTTGGATATGAGGATACGCTTTGGTGAGATGCCACCCTGGGTTGGATGACACGAATTTGGTTGGAATGTTGTCCTCGGACGTCAGCGTCAGAAGCAAGACGATGCCCCAAGCCGGCTGAAGGTGGATAAGAAAGAAGAGAAGAAGATGAAACGAAGAGCTAAGAAGCAAGAACTGAAGCTTCCATTTGCTTATTATATTTTGTTATGCTTAATTGGCTGTCAATGTTGTCGCTTACTGCCCCACCCAATTCAGGGCAGAGATGTACCTTCAGACTCAGTTGCGGTCGTGCCTTGCGGTCGGGCCCTCAGGAAAGCGATAAAGCAAAATATGAGCAAGGAGGAAAAGAAGAGCCTTGGAGTTTCTTTAGACGCTTTCCAACTTCTTACTATATAGCAGTGACATCTTTTTTGGCCAACATTTGAAGTGCTGCCTCAGTTCACATCAGAATCTCCCAATGGCTGGTGCGTAGACTTCCCTACCTTACACCATTTGTTTGCCATCTAAACACCCTCCAAAAAAAGCGGTTCGCGCGTGTGTTCCAACTCATGGAGCAGCAACAATCCCCACAGAATCCCACGTGGGTTCCCCGTGGTCCCCCCTTGGGTGGGTGATCATGAACGTTCGTCCCAGGAGGTTCAAAAAGATCAGGAAGATGCAGAAGCTTCAAGCCAAAGTTGCTAAAGCGGAGAAGGCATTGAAGAAGTCCGAGAAGCACCTTGATTCGCATCGGTCAACCAGAGATTTGGTCAGTCACCGGTGCGGCTGGAGACTCCATCGGTCGAGTGGTCTGGGCTGGGAGCTGGAGCCGAGTGGTCTGGGCCGATCGTTTGGTGAGGAGGAGAGATGGCGTGGGCCAGAGTAGTAGAACTCCATCCTAGCTTGCAGTGTTGGAATTGTTTGAGCACCACGTCCACCATTTTTGCCATTGTTGCAGCAAGCAATAAGCAAAAGGGTCAGTTGTGGCTGAGGTTTGCACATCTCTAGAACTCTACAATTGTTGTCAAGATGTGTCCCTCTTCGCTACTGTACCCAGGCTCCAAGTGTCCAAATGTATCTCAATGTGGCCCGCCAGACTTGTCAGACCACTTAGGCAGCTGAAAAAGACCAAGAACGGGTCCGGCTCCTCGTCCTCTTCATCCTCCAGCAGCTCATCCTGAGACCGTCCACCGGGTTTTGTGACCCCAAAAAGTTCTCGAAAAGCTCCAGCCTGAGCGACGGTGGATGGAGGGTCGACCACTGGACCGCTCAAGTGGAGATGCTGGGAGTTGGAGAATGTACACTCCCTGAAATTATCATGGAAGTGGATGCACGGCCTTTGGATTCCCATTTTCCGAATACCAACATGAGTCAACATGTAGGTGGTTTTCCACTTCCATAAGTCTATCATTCATCCGCATTCAGCATTCATCCTATGTTTTTCACAACAGCATGTCATCCTCCACGGACCAAAGGAAGGAACAGAACCCCACCCCACACATACCACAACTATCATAATATAGACTCTTGATTAATAACCCCCCCATAATATGAAGAGCATGTCCAATTCCAATGGGAGGGTTTATTAATCAACAGTCTGCATTACCACATGCTGCTGATCTATGCCACATGGTGCTGGTCTCCCACAGACCGTGGCCTCCGTTGCCAGACCTTCCGGGAGCTGCGGAACTTCCTCCTCGATCGCCTGGCTCGACTTCTGGGCCCCGAGAACGTCCGGGGCGAAGGAGCAGGGAGGGAACGGGAGGGGGAGGAAGGAGCAGGGAGCGGGAGGGAACCGATGTTCCGCCGGGGTTCCGGTGAGTGACTCGTGACTGGTGCGATGAAGTAAAGAAGAAGGATGAAGAAGGGATTGACCCGGCGGGTCGAGTCTACAAATTACCTTAGGATCCAGCCACCCTCATTCCCGAACCACACCAGTCAGTCGGAGACAAATGGGAGACGAAAGATTCATGGGACACGATCGGGACACGCCAGACTTTCACCTTCGGACCAACTTTCTTCGGATCAGGTGGAATGGGTGCCTTTGGGCCCGAAACTACATAGGTGGGTCGTGGTGATCATGGCAGCTCCTATTGCCCATTCAAAGATTGGGAGGGACCTTCCACACCTCTTCACAGCTTCAAAGATGTGTCCCTGCGTCCGGAGAAAGAGAGCCGCTTCATGAAGGTGGACGTCAGTTAAACAAGGCCGAGTATGACCTGGTGTTGTTTTTTGTTTTGATTCCCAGACCATCCATGGGACTGGAATAAGTTGCATACATGTACCCCAATGATGACCCATCCGCCGTAACTATTCCAATCCCATGGATGGTCTAGAATTGATCTCTTGTCTTGCCATCAGATAGCGGTAGTCAGGTTCCCCTGATCTAAGCAAATATGGCCTACGGTTTTTGCCGGTGAATGTAGGTCATACCTAGATCTTCCAACCGTGCAACATTTATGCCTAACTTGGCTGGTTGAATTGATGAAAAGGCAGAAATTCTGCACAGTTGGAAGATCCAGGTATATGGTCATTTTTCTTCATTACATGGATCGTCAGGTGTCTTCACCTTCTGTCGTCCGGAGCCTACTTCGCCGTCTCGAGGTCAGCGACTTTCTGGAGGAATACTTTCCAGCTGAACGTTTCCAACGAAGTCTGGTCAGTCGGGCCTTGTCGGAAGAAAAAGATGCACTCAACAGCCGAGAGGGAAATGGGACTGGAAGAGATGCCAATCCTTGAAAGACCGGGTCAACCACCTCAATGTAGGAATGGTATAATATGATTATCATTGATTATCTGAAATTAGCGAAAGTGATGAATAGTCAGTGAGTGGCCATAGGGTTTCAAAAGGCACATATTGCTTGAAGAACGATAACACACTCACCAAAACCGATATCGTAACGCGACGGACGTGAAACACGATAATACACTCACCAAATCAATCCAAATCCTGATGACCTGCAACCCCACAACAAATGTTGACCATCGTTCACCAATATAATATATTATACAAGTACATATTCCAGTCCCATTGGCCATGTCTGGGATAGTAACTGCTTGCTCCATTCGCTTTGCCCTACAAAGTTCCACTGAGCAAAGTCGGATTGCGTGGGGTATATGGTCACCCTTAAACTTAAGGAACATAAAACAACATGGACGGATCAACTCTTGTGAAACCTAGTTTTTCTTCCCGTACTTTATGTGGAAAGGAGGTGGTTATAATATGTATAATGTAAAGGTCCCCCCACATGTCTGTATACATGCCAAAAGCAGACGTATGTCGATTTCATGCACTCTACAGCGATTCAAAGTGGCCCAAAGGTCACTCCGGCGTGACTACTCCATCAACTCCTACAACATGCAGGTGTTTCATCTACTCTGAAACTAGCTACTCTGCAGGTTTCATGTCACTGTCTGTGAGCCTTTTCCGGTTCCTGTCAGTCACTGTAGCTGCTTAAGCTCATCTCGACTGACGTGACAGGACGGACACCCATGGGAGAATGATGCATAAGCTGAATCCTTGTGCACAGATGTGCAGTGAATCATCATATATCACTCCATAGTCTATATAGCTTGTGAAACAGAAGGCTCAGTTTGAGTTGGAAAGGTTTTTGAGATCCTCAATAGAATCCTAAGCAGAATGTCTTAGGTCCCAGCCCTAAGTGGGGCAACGCACCACAACATCCACCTTTCCTGGGTTTTGACCCGTGCCACATTCCATTTTGGGAATTTCCTGGTGCCACGGTGCCTGCCGAAAGCGCAAGCTGGGCAGCAGCCGGGCAGCCGCGGGCATGGCTGCGGATTCGCCAGGTACCGCAGAGACCCCTCGGGGTCTCCGGTGGTCGACGGGTCATTAGGGCGGTATATCTTCGAATGTTTGGGTCTGGAAACTCTCCTGGTGAAGTGAGAATATATAAGTGGACATGGTTTAGTGAGCCTCTTGTTCCCAGAAGCCGGTTCTGTAGAGGAGGATGAACAGTGAAACATCTCCTACAAGAGAAGCGTCCGACCTGGATGAAAGAGGCACCTCGGGGCGAAACAAAGATTGTTCTGCTGGACATCCACCACTCCATGCTCCAATTGGATTCTATCCTATTCGGACTTCTGTTCAGTGTACTTTACAGTCGCCCTACCCTAGTGGAAAAACGTTTGTTTGTTACCTTTTGGAGCATCATTGAGAATCCATGACCAAACATATTTCGGCACAACCAGGGAACCATGTCAGTTGACTCAACTTTGGCGCACTGGAAATCGCCGCCTACTGAGGGAGACCGCAAGAGGATGTAAAACATCTCGAAACCAGTTTGGAATGATGTGCACATTCTAGGGTTTTCAACCAGCTCCTAATAAAATCGTTAAGGTGGATTTGGCGGGTTTCGGTGTCTTCTGAGGGTGTGGGCCAGGAGCCTTGTGAGGACTGTCTGAACGAATCTCCAAGCAGCTCACTGGTTGATGTCCCCGATGTGAAAACCTGTGCCAGCTCGGTGAGAAACCACCTGGATCTGGAAATCGCTGAGAAAAACCCATGGGTTTCGCGTCGCGACGCAGGGGAATGCGGGGATGCGGAGCTTTTTGAGGCCAACGGGCGAAGCGGTGGGTGAAGATCCACTTCGCAATGGTTTTTGAGGAGAGAAACACATTAGACATCCTTAGAATGTAGAAGAGGATCTTGGGCGGGTTGCACCATGATGTGGACTACTGTACATCCAAACTGCAATAGTCTGGAGTAGGTCGCAAAGCTTGTTATTATGCCATTATTATGTGTTATGATATCATAGATATCATATTGTATTGTATCATGTGATATAGCTCGGCAATGCTCGGCAGGCTCTCCGGAAACGCATTTTTGCCGAGTCAGAGGAAGAGGAGGAGGAGGCGGGAGGAGGTGACATGAGGGTGTGGAAATCCAAATGATTCCATGTAGTATGGACCTTCTGGTTGTAAAGAGACATGGATGGTACATGAATGGTTCCTTAGCATAGCCCCGTTACTCCATGTATGGCATATTTACCTACATGCACCCCTGAAGCCACCCCAACTGATCAGCGAACACAGCAGTCCAATGGAGTGTTTGGGTTTGGACAGAGGAACTTGGAACATCTCTTCATAAGGTGAGTTTATTGGGTCCATGTCTTTGGCGTTGATCGTTTAATTGTGGAAGTGCACACTCTGCTGTTGGAGCTTGCTTGGTTGCCTCTCACCAAATTCAGTCCAAAAGCTATCCTAGGACCGGTGTGAAGGCAGAAGCTTTTGCTCTCGGGTTTTGGGGTCGGAGAACTTTAACACCCTTGACTCACATAGTAGAGATGTTCAATATCAAAGCTCTCGCAAACGTCACCAAGCTCATTGGGCCAGGTTTGAGAAGGGATCCTGTGAAGAGTTGCCTGATGTTGGCTTCTCCCCCCAAAAGCGTCCCAGAACTTCCGCCCTTTTCATTCACTGGGCTTCCAACAATTGCGAACAACATATGCATCGCAGATGGGCGCCCTGGTGCATCAAGACTCGGCGCCAAAATGGTTGCGCATTTCTTGGGTGGAATTGATCTCATGATGGTTTTTTGGGCACCTGGACGGAGCGACGGGACGGATTCTGATCAACTACGGGGGACTTCTTCGGGAGCGACGGCGCCAGGGTCGAACACAGGTTCTGCAGTTCTTCCCCGGCACAGTTGAGAGCTCCAGGGAGTTCCCGAGCTCGCCGACGTTCGGATTACCGTTGCAGAAATTGAGTTCTTTTGAATGTTTGCAAACAGTTAACAGGTTATGTTGACTGTTGACTCAAGGTTCAGTTTCTGTTGTTGACTCATGTCTCTGAAAGATTTTTTTTTTGCACACATAGCGGGACAATCTGATGGAGGACAGTGCTTGTACGGCACTCAGAATATCTTGGAGCACACACATGCTTTCTCAAACAGCTTGGATGTTGCTCTACTGTGATCTATATGCTTCCCACTTTGTACTTGGAGTGTCCGGGATGCCCTGTCACCCTAGTCTGAAATCTCTGGAGCTGCAAGTGCCGCAAGAGCTGGCAAAAAACAGGAATAGGATTGATATGGATTGATATTGATACTTGTATGGATTTATTTACACCGAAAGACACCGACATGGAAGTGGAGTTCACCACCAGTTTGGTATACGGAAAATGGCCATCCATGAATCCAGGGGGGCCGATTTTCATCTATTTTCTACTTCCATCCTCTACATGGAATCCTCCAAACCACGGTCGGATTACCATGGTCGGATGACCATGGTCGATTCTCAGGAGTGGCTCAGGAATCGTCGCTGGTAGGAGAGGGGAATTTCAGGGAGTGGCGTAGAATCAACCACCTCCCCTCAAAGGAGCCACCCGCTGACGACTTGGGTCCGTCTTCGCACGTTCCTTGCGAGTGAAAACTGTCGGTGTAGGAAGACTTGGACGTAGACCTGCAGGTTCGGGTGGGAACTTCATATGACTCCTGGAACCCATATGACCTTGGGAAACCCTAGACCTCCAACCACATCCTCAGAATGTAGTTGGACCATGTTTGACCCCCTAAACCCACCCCAATCACATTTTCAGAAGGTCGTTGCCATAAGTTGGAGGCCCAAGCAATACTCGCAAGGTGTTTTCACACCGCAGTGTTTGTGCGGCATGGACCGAGTACTGCGAAACAGACCCAGCCGGTCACCGGATCTGCAGGCACCTTTCATAGCTCCTCCAGTTGAAGCACCAGAGGAGGAAGAGGATCTGGAGATGTCCGGGGCTCGTTTGTTCGTTTTCCTTTTTTTTGTGGGGGGATATATTATATATATATGATATTGATATATATTGATATATATATATATATTGATATATCATATATAAGTTATATAATAAGTATATAAAATATTTGGCCGATCTGGGACGCACGAGGTGGCACCAAGACATGCGTATCAAGACACCTGGGAGCATGGTTTATGATTGGTGGGCCAGAGACGCATCCTGGCGCCTCAAGATTCAAAATCACGGAGCCCGGTCACGGCGCTGTCACATCTTAGTCTAAGTTGATGATCCCTCCGATCTTGCATGAAGCTCTGGTCGCCATGTGGAGATAGGCATGGGGAGCTGAAGTTCTGAAAAGGCGGAGTCAATGAGATGAGCTGTTCAAGATGTTAAAGGGGTTGTTGGATTGCAAGCTTGGAGTTGAATGGCCTGAAGATGATCTGAAACCTTCTGAATTTCTTCAGGATAGCTTTCGCTGCTAGAAATACTGTATAAGATTCACCATATTCTTTGGAAATTGTACATTGTATATAGAGGTTGAAATTGAATAAGCACTGTTAAACTGTTTTACGCCATCTAGTTAATTACCCTCCAACTGACACTCGTGGAAGCTGACCAGGACCCCCTATCACTATATAGTAGAGGAAAGAAACACTCTTCAGGGGTCCACGTTCCACTTCCTATCTTAGCGAGTGATAGGCAATGCCAGTGGCAGTCCGACCTCCAGGATGCTCCGACGGAATCGGCGGGCTCCGGCTCGCCTGTTCCCACCAAAGAGGCCAGGGAGGGGCAAGGATGGACAGGTCCCAGCGGGCAGACGAAGGATGGACAGGTCCCTGTTTAAAAGCATGTCAAGAATTCTATTAGCAGTGACCCCATGCCAAAACGAACAGCAGTCACCGGAATTTGGCTGGTGATTTAGAATCCGTTGACATGGAAGAGGCAACATCCTATAAAACATTTTAAAATGGCTGGTCAGCACCTTGCTGGTGACCATGAGCCATGAGAACAAGCACTTCTTGTTTCTAAAAAGGTGAGCCTGAGAGGAGTGTTGATATGCAACCCATTGTTTTCAGAATGCTTTTTGGATGGACACCTTCTTTTCATGTTCGCCGGAGAAGAATCCTGTTATTCTGTCTGACTGGGTCCATTTCACAGTCTGTGACTTACCCTGAAATACTCATGGAAGTGGATGGCATGGCTGAATACCAAACAGGTGGTTGTCCACTTCCAAGATGATTTCCGGGAGTGTATGTAGGGCTTCCGCCTGGACGACGTCCGAATTGAGTTGGGCTTTTGATTTGTGTGTTGGTGGGGTAACTAAAAAACACCCCAAATCCCATCCAATCCCTGACGTTCCACAAGTTTGATTTGGAGTTTTCAACATGGCAGCAGGATTTGCATTTTTTTTGTCTCAAGTATATAATGTCTTCCAAATCTTTACAAACACCAAGAAAACACCGATCGAACATGCACCTTCAAACTCGAAAAAAAGGAGCACCGCATCTCCAGGTGAATCCCCCAGGCGTCCACGTCAGAGCAATTGGTGTTTCGCAAGACACCCGGCACCGCCGTGCGCCCAGATTGGCCAACGAGCTCATTTGCTGCTGGACCAGTTGGGTCTCTCACCCGACAGCGATTTCGAGGTGCGCCGTGCGCGGTGTGCGGGGTGTGCCGCGGTTCAAGCGACGTCGACCAGGTCCTGCACTGGGTTTAGGTAAAACGAGCACTCTCACCCTGAAGACCTCATTTTTCTGATCTTCAAACACGGAGGTTCACACAGCACACGGATCCTCTGCATGAATCTACATTGAGCGATGAGATCTAGTTGTTCAACACTGGACCACAGTTGACCTTGTAAAATGAAACGACATGCGAATCAGACTGGTGGCATCTGGAGAACGCTTCCTGCCACCTTCGACCTGAAAAGGGGACCGGACCACCCCTGCGAGGCTATTTTGCCCCGAGGAGCACGGGGTGGCACCCGAGGAGCGCAAAGACGCGTGGCTGGGAGCAGCGCTGACGAAGCATCTCCAGCTCAAACCTCTAATCGCCAGGTTGTCCTGTCCTGAGCACGTGTCAATTCAATGCTCCCTTGGGGCAATTGGAAGTGGTTGCCAATCAGAGTTGTAGGAGAACTTTAAACCCTGCAGTTGCTGCACACCCCATGAGGCCAGGAAAGATTTTCCAAAGTCCCCACCTGCCCATTTGCAGCCGCCAACTCCCTCCTCCATGGATCCTGCAGTCCCTTCTGCCCAAGTCTGCCCGAGTCTGCCGACCGAAGGAGCGGCCCCGGAGCGGCGCCGAAACGGCTCCCGCAGCCGGAGCCGCGGCTCACGGGTGGAGCCGGCTGGAGCGCGAGACGCCGCGGAACGAGCCAGTCAGCTGGAGAAGATGCCGATGCAGCTGGAGAAGCCGTATCAGGCTGGTGTAGTGAGTGGCAGGATGCATTCCGCCAGTGGAAGAGATTGAAAGATGAATTCTTAGACCAAAAAAGCAAGATCAATGAAAGGCAGGACAGAGATCATTCAACTATGGACAAGCCATCTTCAATGGGCTCGGTCGATGTGTTTGCTATGTTGCTTCCTGCTTCAGCTTTGGTTTATGTTGACTTTGGCCCTGGTGTTCCAGCGTTGGAAGAGATCATCGTTGTATCACTGGCCCTTCGAGCAAGGTCAATCCCACCAAAGACTCTGCTGTGTCATAGGTGGAAGCCCTACACTCTAGCCTCCTCCAGTCAGATGCTTACTTTTGATTCTGACGCGCAGCCCTTTGGAGCGACGCAGGAGGAGAGGACGGAGGAGCAGATTCTTCGGGGCAGCTCAGCTGAAGCGGTGTTGGACATTCTGAGAGCGAACTGGGTCATGTCAATTCTTTTGGTCATTTTTGGTCTATTTTTTGGGTCTGGCAGCTTTCCCCATCGTGCTGAGTCTTGCACCCTGTACGGCATTTGTTTGGAATTATGCTTGGTGTTGGTAGTCTGTATTTTCCTCACCTATTTGTATTAATGATTCTATTTGCCCCTGAAGCACTTCGATCCCTGGTATTTGAGCTTTTGGAATTCGACATGATCCGTCAAAAGGATACGTTCTCATCTTCCAGGGTGTGACAGTTCCTGAACGAAGCAAGGTATAGCATTCTCATCCACAGGCCATTCAACCGCGACTCTTGTAGAATACCACCTGTGTCACGGGTCCCTCCGCAGAGCTTGGAGAGTCGCATTTTCATGTCTAACTTTCTGCCCTTTGATCCTTGCTTCATTTTTTATTCGGCCAGCCATGTTTGGGCCTGTCCTGACCAAAAGGTGGCACGGACGAGGTGACCTGCAGGATAGGTGGCACGGCTCCCAGAGAAATACATGAATTGAAGAAGACGGACTGATTCCCGCACACCCACCCCAACTGGTAAACACCTCCTGGAGCCAGATACTCCATGGGAGAATTGTTTGGGACACATTCTTACGACAGGTGACAGGTGGCTCAGCAGAGAAAACGACCAAAAGCATCCAAAAGCACCTCCGGACCTATGAGCTGCATCGGCAGGCGTTGCGGAGCTCACACGAGCCGAGCAGGAGTTGGAGGATCTGCTGGCACATGGGCGCATGGGCGGGTGTTCCATGTTCGGCGCACCGCATCTTACAGCTTTCAATTCACTCAAGCCAGCTTTCACCGTCCCAGCTTCGGTCATGACAGGTGGAGTGGATAGAGTTGAAATAACCGGAAGCATTTAGCAGCTGATCCGACGGGATTTCGAGGGAAACCGAGAAAACCGAGAAGAAGCCTGTTGAGGCCAAAGACTTGTTGCAGCCCAGGGTTGGAGTGTTTGAAGTTGAATCCTCCAAAGTTCGTGGGAAAGCCACACCATGGAAGGGGAGGCTGGATTGGTAGGTTAGTCTGGATTCTGGACTGGAATGTCTGATCGATCGTCAACCCTTGGGATCTTCATGACTGATCAATACCTATCCTTGTCGATCCTTTGGGAAGCTGCAACTGCCACTCCATGACTCGCAGGAGCTGCGAACACGTTCGCTCGCGCGCGCGGCGCTCGCGGACGGGACGACGGCACCTTCGCTGGCCGCGGTGGAGGCAGAGCTGGAGGAAGGCGAGGGGGGTGCGTCAGCAGCCGCCTCTCTAGGTCTCCTTATTCGAGGATAGATCTTGTGTGTTATGCTTGGAGACTCAAGAGTCTTTCGACATGTTTTTCTTGAAAGCACATGTCAGCAGACAGATTTGTTATTTTGGGTGTCGATGTTCCTGAACCCTCCCGTTCGTAACCTAGAAAATAGCACATGACATCACATGACCCGAAACAAAGATGTACAAATATGCATTATAGAAATGATAAGAATATATATATATATGGTACCCCCCCAAAACCAAAACCCACCCAAATTCATGTTTCATTGATATTTACAGTGGGCACCATTTTTGTGTAAAGAATAAAGGTTTTGTGAATATGCATTGAATCCTTTTAGTTTTGGAAATTTTGAAAGTTTTGGAAATCTCACTTATGGAAACTTTTGGAAATCTCACTTTCCATAATTTCCACAATTTCCATAAGTTTCAGGACCATTGAGACCCCCAGATGGTCCTGAAACTTATGGAAATTATGGAAACTGTTGTTTTCAAACACTTCCAAAACCATCAGGACTATGGAGACCTTCCCTGTGGTGTGTAAAGCTTTGGATTCATTAGATTTCCATTGGATTCAATTATATTCATTACTGTTCCACAAGCCGTTTCTCATCAACCTGTGCCATCTCTTCGCTTTTCCTCACCTTTGTGGCAATGCCGTTTATGCCTTGCCCTATTGCTTTGGCCAAGCCAAAACACTACATCGGAGAGTCATAAGCTTAGCCGCTTCGCAAGTGCATTCATCTTTGCAGTGAGCAGAAATTAAAGCAAGTATATGAGCCACTCATCCAACCAAGCCCAATCGTAGTACACTCTATCTGGGTTAAAGCCGGGACGCAGATCGTTGACCGGGCATGGAGATTCTTGAAAGATAGGATGCCCCTGAACCAACATTCCAAAGTCGGGTCAAAGACCCTGAGAGCTATGCTCCGGTCAGCCCAGTACGAGTACTGGCACAAGAATGCTGACCTCTCATTTTTCCACCGGCATACTTTGCTCCTGGGAAATGGCAAAGTTTATGTCGAAGAGCTGTGTTTAAACATGACGATGACCACTGACCACCTGATAAAAAATGGCTGCGTCCTCTTCTGCGTGTGCAAGTCTACTGTGCATCCTCCCTGCTCTTCATACATGACATAATAACCTCTTCCATATGTGCTTTCGTCTGGAACCAAACTATGTCGTTCACGAAACTACAATGCACAGTCTTCAATCAGTTATCTGTGTGACACCCACAACATACAAAACACTGAGTTAGAAATGACGTTGACCACCTGGGGAAAGAGGCTGTGTCCTCTTCTGCGTGTACAAGTCTACTGTGCATCCTCCCTGCTCTTCATACAAAGCATAATGACCTCTTCCATATGTGCTTTCCTTTGGAATCAAACTATGTCGTGCACGAAACTACATGCATAGTATTCAATCAACTTTCTGTCTGACATCCACAACATACAAAACACTTAAAGAACACAAAGAGGTGGGTTTTGGGGGGGGGGCTTAGCATATATATATATATAACGACTTTTGTCAAAATACACCCATTTTCAGAGGTACGGCCAGGTCGACTCCAGGTTCTTTCAACGAAGGTCGCCTTGAAGCGTCGCCAAAGGTCGCGCGACCACGCACGATCGACCAGCATCTCCGGGTGCGCTGGAGGCGGGAGGGATGGCGATGCGAATGCAGGTTGTAAAGGCGTTTGTGCGAATGAAGAGTAGTTAAATACGCCAAAAGTGTTTGGGGGTCTCATTGGATGCCTATCAAATTTTCAGATCACTTGCTGGGCAAATCAATGCAATATTACTTGAATCTGATCGGACTGTGCCAGGAGTTCCATTCGATGTTGGACAGACGTGAAAACTTGGATGGGTCGATTCAAACGACTCCAGATGGTGCACACAATTGCAACTGTGCCGTAGAATCTGGAACCCAAAAAGATGAGTGGATTGAAGGAAGCAACATGTTTGGCGCATTTGGGTACTAGCTGTTTGATGTATATATGGCATGGTCTTCCACAATGATGCTCACAGAGAACCAGAGACTGGACACATCGGCAGGACCGCTTGCGCTGGCTCTCCGAAGAGCTCCGAGGGGATTTGAAGCCTCGAGGCGAGCCTCGGTGCCAGCCCCCTGAAGATCCAGTGAGCTGGTCCCTGGTGAGAGTTCCGTTCGGGTCGTCCCTACTTGTGACGATGTCACGCAAACCAGCGACCTTTTGCACGCGGATCTGGAGGAGATGGACCCGGCCAAGGTAACATTTTTGTTTTTGCATCGTCAAATGCACAAATTCCTTTGTTGGAGTTCTTGCTTTAAAACCTTGAGGTTGATCGCCATGACATGCCGTGCAATGACGCAAGGCTCATGCAATGCCAAACTAAACTAAGAAGTTGTGCATGTTTAACGCGCTGGGCCCTAGAGTAATCCACTCCGTGAATGTTTTTGAACCCTACAAAGGAATCTGGAACATCGTCCCAAGACTCTTGTTTCATTTTGGTCAGACCCTGCCACCTGTTCGCCTGCTCGGGCTCACTCGGTTCTTGCTCGGGCACCAGGCTTGAAGAGTCTGGCTGACCGTATTCACAAGGAGATCCTCAGGAGCGGTCAATTCTCTTTTTTCTGTTCACAAGGAGATTCTTGTTAATGTGAGAGAGGAAAACCATGCCCAGGGTATCAAGCTCAAGTGTTTGGGCAGCAGTCCCAATTCAGCTGCAGGTGACCTCGTGAATAACGGCGTGACCACCCATAAATTTATAGCCCATGTACATTGACATGTATGATATATGGTCATAATATCATATACCCTACGCCCCCAAGCCCCACTGGAATGGCCTAGGTTTCAGAAGGAAACCCGAGTTTTTGTTCAATCAGTACCAAAGTACGGGTTTTGTACGGTTTGAATGAATACGGGTTTAGTACAGGTTTGAAAGACCATACCCGAGGCCCGAGGTGTTTCTTGATTTCACAAACATACTCGGGGTTCTGATCGAGCCCCTAGAAATTTGTAGGTTTTTGGTTGCGTATCATATATACTCAAACATATTCGACCTGGAAATGCTTTTGCATGGGGTTTTCCCTTTGTTCGCTCCACGAGACAAGGAGGGGAGGGGAGGAAGCGCCCTACAAAGTGATGGCGCTCCTTGGCAAGGCCGGACCCTCGGCTGGGACTGGAGGGACTGACCTGCGACACGGGCAACCGACACCGTCCACGGTGAGTCTTTGGCGAGGTCCTCCACGACGAAAGGGAAAAACATCTTCTTTTGAGTAGTAATGGCGATGGCCTCCAACCTAAAAGCGATGGCCTCCAACCTACTAGCGTTGGCCTCCAACCTAAAAGCCATGGCCTCCAACCTAAAAGCGATGGCCTCCAACCTAAAAGCGATGGCCTCCAACCTACTAGCG